GAAGAGGGAGCATGCCTTACCAAAGGGAGGATGCAAAATCTTTCTTCTGGAAAATGCTTTAAGAATTTCAATGAAAACAAGAAAATGTCATTGTCTTCTACCAAAATATAGTGTGATTACTAATGCCTGCTAAACTATGTGAGAAGATGGCCTTGAAGATATATTGGCTTTAAGTATTAACAGAGATTGACCTCTGAAGTTGCTGCCAACACATTGATAATATCCACATATTCCATTATTTCATTCTTGAAATTGTATTCTAACATTTTTCTAACATTTCCCTTTTTTCTCTACAGTTTTCCATGTCACTGTGCTATTGTAGATTCGTCTTCATGTCTATTCCTCTTTTCCCACCTACTGTTTTTTTTCTTACACATTCAGATTTTTAACATGTTTTTTTCACAATTATAGTGCCTTTATATCTGTTCCATAACAGAGTTCTTGTTTTCTGTCTGGATTTAGACAAATTAACTCTTTATGTCCCACCATGCATACCTTTACTCGTGCAGGAAGAATAACCGTACACATCAGTGTCCTGAACTGAAAATACAACATTTATGTCTTGATTTTTTAATCAAGGTTGAACATGGAAAATTGATGTTTCACATCCCGTTAAGTCAGTATCATGAAGAATTTTGATGGTTTTTGGTTCTGTTATTTGGCTGCAGTTGCGTAGTTCCATAGTCGCAAATTATTAGAACACATTAGATTACGAGTTTATATTTGACAGAATAAATAAATTGAAAATATTACTAATTAATCATTATTATTAAGAATCAGTTAAGCAGTATTGTACAACTCTCAGCAGTATAACTCTCTTTTACACCACATTCTAAGTAGTATGAAATCTTTGACTCTTTACTGTGTCCTAAGTTTTTAATTGTTATATTAACTCTGGACATTTTTATAGTGTATAATTACATAAGATTCCATATTTTCTGTCCTTGATTATTTACTATTTTCATGTTCTCACGTAGCTATTCTTCACTTTTGTCTCATTTAAGATGATGTCTGTGATCTCAAGAAGGTTATATGACTGCTTATGGAGAAATTTTAATAAATCCTTAATGAAAGCCTATAAAATAGTGCTTTTCTCTTTCACCACACAGCTCTGAGGAAGAAGATTTTTGGCAGAACTGTTAGCTCTGTCTCCCAGTCAATGACCATATGCTCAGTGGATGAGGAATTTTCTGAGTTAGAGGCATAGAAAATAATGACAGCTTGGCAACAGCCTTGAGCTTTTCAATAAAATGATAACTACTGTTGTTGTTGTCCAGGAAGCAGCTTCTAAAATGATCCTCTGAATCTTACATGAGAAGATCCTGGGAACTCTTCACTTCTCCTCTGTTTAGTATGATGTGATAATATGATAAAAAGTGTGGTAATGGAATTACAAGTTTACAGGACATTTGGTCCTTTGGTCTTTGCATCAAACTAGGTAGCTCTTTATCAGATTCAGTTTTATTTGTGTAAACTCAACGATGAGCTTACTTGAAAGTTGCAGAACCGCTGCAAACTCAATGATACAGCACTACCCTGTGTAAATAAAGAGCAGTGCTAACAGAGCAACCTACTTCTGACACGGACTTTTAGTTAAATTTTATTTTAAGCAGATCATTAGACTCAATGGAGCTGAACGACAATAGTTAGACCACTTTCCTGGTACTAGTCTAGACAAATGTCTAGCTTTTAGATGGCTTAACTTTGGTTAGATGAATCCTACTCTTTTTCTTCTAACCTTTTGGTTAGAAGAAGAGTTGCTGAACAGAGCTAGGATCTGATCCTGAGCCAAGATTCCGGCAGTACAAAATGTGTGATGCTTCTGACAGTCTGGAAAAGCTGTTTCACTATATTATTTATGTGAGTTTAGTAATCACAGATTATTAGATTATTAATGATAGGTTACTAATGAAACTCTCGTATAATTCTGATTTATATGTTTAAAGTTCATAAAGAGTTTAGGGGATTTTGATTGTTAGATATCATGCTATAAAGAATACGTAAGTATTTTAGATATGCCAAAGTAATATATTTCTTCATTCTAGGACAGAGGAGTGTGTTTTATTAGCATTAGGTTAAATATAAAATAATATCTTAATTAGAGATAACACAACTAGAGTGGTCCTAATTTAGAGTATGTTCTTAAAGTTCAATTCACTTCAGTAACAAATCAGATGTTAAATGCTTAATATTTACTCTCAGTGAAGCTAAAAAAGAACCGAGGGAGAAAAAAAACAAAAAAACATAAGAAACTCTATGATAAAATATGCTATGCTAGAAAATGACAGTTGCTTGATTTTTTTTTTTTTCTATTCTATTTGTTTACATTTACACAATTGTGTCCATTTAGTAATCTACCATGCTGGCAAGGTATTTTTGAAGCATGCATTTCTTCCTCTAAACTGTAATGCCAGGTTCCAATGTAAAATATTTCCAGTTTCCTGTCAGATGGTATTGGTAAACTCACAAAAGGTCCCAAATCAGGTTCTTTTCAGACCTTGCATGCTTCTTCTTAGCTTGAGTGAAAGCCAGAATATTTTACTGGCTTTTCCACATGTGTGCTTGTGTGTATGTTATGCTAAGAAAGAGATCAAAAATGGTAGAATTGTTATTTTGAAGGACAGCTTTCTACTAGGCTTTTTAAAAGCATAGCTCTAGCTTAGAATATATGCAGATGCAACTGTTTATTTTACAGCTACTACTGATGTATAATGAACTACAAGTTTTAATGAAGATTTATGTTCTTCACTAATGCATATTTATTTCCTTTGAAATTTAATTGTAAAGTGTGTTATTCTTTATTCTATACATAGTTAATTTAATATTATCACGACACTTTACCTTAATTCGTTAAAGGATTGTTATTTTTAAACACCTTCTCAATAACGTAAGTGTTTCCAATTTGTTTTAAACGTGTAACAAAAAATATTAGAATATATTTTTCTGTTCTTTCTTTCTATAAGCTTCTGTTCTTAGCCAGCTACTCATCAGAGCCTGGAGCTGGAAATGAAGGGGTTTTAGCAGATACCAAGCATCAGGAAAAACACAGCTAGCAACAGAACCTTAGCTGAGTATTTCATGTTCTTATGTGTAAGCTCAGCTTAGACCACATATCAAGCTGTGGCCCCGTATTAGTTTAAACCAAATATATTGTACACAGCACTACCTGTGGTTGAAACCTCCTGGTGGACAAAAGCTTTTTCTAAGTGCATTTCATGGCCTAAAGTGACATAACTTTTGGTCTGAATCGAGTTTCTGGATACACGACTGTCATCATGAAAGTTACTTCCTAGAAGGTTTGAGTTGAGAGCCAAGAAGTCTTGGCTCTCTGTCTCACTGAGCAACATACATGCACAGTGATGGAGCAGCCTAGCCATGTATTCCTCTGCTGCTATGCTGTGAATTCATTTGTGGTTAATAAATATGAAAGTATAATTTTTGATACAATTCAGTATATTTTTTTCTTCTTTTCTTTTTTTCTCTTTTTTCTTTTCTATTTTTTCTCTTCCATAGAAATCATTAAACATTTACAAATATGAACACGTAAGTAAATAAATGGAAAGTCACTTTTAAGGCAATCCTTTTTCTCTTGCCACCAAAAACACTGAACAAGTTTATGCTTATTCTTTCTGCAGTTACCCAATTCGTATTTCTCACAAATGTGAAAAAGAAGGCAACTGTATTTCCACCTCAGGACAGGAATATCAGTTTTCCAAGACCATTATATGGTTGCCCTACCTGCATATGGTTGCCTTTCCTTCCTGCATATGAAGAAAGAAAGAGATAACAGCTCTGTAGGGCTTGCAAACTCTGTGAATGGGATTTATCTGGTGGAAGACAGAAGAATGCCTTATGCTTCTTAAATGCTACTCGATAGGCATGCAGACCAAATTATAATTTAGCCCTTAATGTGCTAAAGAATACTGACAGAATATTAGTTCTGTAGTCTGTGCAAATCTGAGTGACACTGGTTGTGCTGAAATGTATGAGTCTATATTTAGACAAAAATATATGTGCATACTTGTGTTATGCAATTATACATAATGAAATGAGTATAAAATCCAGACTACATGTATCAAGGAGGGCATAAAAATATATATCTATATATTCTGTATGTACGTCTATATATTCTGTATGTTTGTATCTGCATATATCTGTATATCTGGTACTAAGGCTGTTTTGCTGCTAACCAGATTGACTAATACTAAATGATCCCTGAGAATAAAGTCAACAGAAAAGGTTTAAAAAAATTCTTTTCTTTAATGTTGTCTTTTGTTTAATGTTTGTTAGTATCTAAGACAGATACTAGCCTACGACGTTTATATAACAAATTTTAAGGATGAGCAATACGAGGAAAAAATGGGAAGTCTTAAATAATGCTGTCCATAACAACGTGTCCTTTAAATCATCTATTGTGATTTGTTAAGCCATAGCTGTTAAGTTAAACAGTGGCTGTGTTTACATTAGCTTTTAAATTTGGATCAGGAAAGTGCTTTGAAATGAGTTTTTGGATTATCTGCACTTATGCTGTGGTTCACATTACTGAGTGGTTTTGGAGTATACCAGCTTTATTCCTTTTGGATGAAACTAAAGCGGAAAATGTGCTCCAGGAGCACAGCTGATACACTTCAGCCTCTGGTGCACTCATGGGACTAGCCTAAGACCCCTGAAATTTATGCGTTGTGGATGTTGGGTTCCGCACAAACTGTTTAACTCTACAAATCTGTTCTTATTGCTTGCTAATATGGATGTAACCAGTATGGTATGAATTGAACAAATTAATTTTTGCCTGAGGCAAGAGCTCTGATTTTCCCGCAGGCTTCATCTTTTACCCCTGCAGCATAGGTTTCGTGGGATTTTCTCATTCAGGAATTTACAAGTGTATTGTAACGAGAAAAATTGGTGTAGGCGGGTGGCATAGAAACATCCTATTGAAGTGTGAGTGTAGATGTTATGGCAGAAAATATTAAATCTAACTTTTTGTTTTAACTTTTTTTCAGGAAAGAACAGTAACAATTAGAAGACAGACTGTAGGAGGATTTGGATTAAGTATAAAGGTAATATTTTTTTTGTCTGTTGTTCCACAGGTTACACAAAAAGTGTCTTTATATATAGCTAATTTTAATTTTAATGAGGAAATCTTAATGAAACTGTATTTCAGAGAACTAGAAACAATAGAGCAAACATTTTCTAGAAGCTTAGATACTGTCAAAATAGGGCAACCAGCAACTACACTGCCTTGTGAAATGGAAGGCAATGGAAAAAGCATCCCCTTAAGATTCAAGCTGAGCAACTCTGTAATAAGATTTGATATGAGAATTGAAAAGGTTTTGCAACTGCACAGAACGATACTTTGTTCAACAGCACTCTAATTTAAGTTGATATTAATGAATGCTAAGTTACAATGTCAGGCACATGGAACAGCCAATAAGTTCATCATCACTTCTCTTACAAAGAATATCACATTAATTAACTGTAATTCATTAATAGGACAGAAAGTGTTATTGCTTTCTTATATTGTTTATTTTACTTTTAAGATCAGGCAACTCCAGCAATTTATCATGTTACCGTATTTTTGCTTTCCTCAGGATGATTTAAGAACATATAGAAGTATAGGTGATCCTTTTGGAAGGAGGAAGGGATGGAGAGAGGAAGGGGGAATTAATCATTTTTATCATTATAATCATTGTAAGAGCCTATATTGCCATGATTTTGAAACTCTAAGGTAGCTTAGCTTTGAATCTCAGGATAGACAACATATAGCATTAATTTTATCTTTCTTCTAAACACAGCATTCCTCAGCCTAAAGATGGTAATGGGAAAAGTCAAGTATACTTCACATGAATGCAAAGAGCCTTAAATTATGCATGTAAAGTGAAAGTATAGACTTTCCTGTGAACATCTGCTAGTACTGACCTTATAAGAAATGACTCAGAAAAGACATTAATGTATATTTGTGTTGTCATTGATAAGAATATTGCTGAATAGAAATACTAGTTCTTAAAATATGTCTTCCTACGCTTGCTTGTATCTTGTTAACCCAATAAAGACCTCTGTTTGAGGAAAACTAATTGCTATATTGTGGCCAAAGTTTCTAAGGAATCTAGTCAATAGCACACAAGTTGTTTTCTTGTAATGTCATTGTAGGTTGCTGTTCACTGAATAACGATAAAGTAATACACAGTAAGTGTAAAGTAAAACACTGTAAGATGAATACAGGTGAATGAAGTTGTATTTACTTAGTAATAAGAAATAACTGGTTACAGTAAGGATTTTTGAGGTTTGGAAAGTAAATCCCAGGAGAACTCAGTAAAATGGATTTTTTGGTTATACAGTACAATGGCTTATCTTCTAATATAAAAAAACCTGGGACAAACTCAAGATAATCTTATTATTTAAGCATTGGGTAAATTGTAGCAAATAAAATATTATTGGGAAATATAAATTAAAAAGTAACTAGGAGGTGGTCTTTATTAAATTGCTTGAATTTTCAGAGCATATTCATTGTTCTCGAGAACTTTCTTGGAAGTTGCAAAAATACATGGAAATGCCAATACAGAAAATATGGATTTTTCACATTGTAAACTCAGCCTAGAAAGGAATTTCTCTTGTTATATGTTTATGAAAGACTTAATGTAGCTTACAAATTGAATATGGTTCTGTTTTAGTTTTTATATATATATATGTATGTATAAAGCAGCTGCAACAGAATTTATGAATCATGGCTATAAATTAAATTATTTAAATGTCTTCTTTTTTAAATTTTTTTGCATAGATGTTTTGATCAAAATTAATTTCACTGGTGAAATTAAATTCAGGTTTGAATAGCAAATCTCTGATTTTTGGAAGGGCTTACAATCAGGATGGATTCCCTTTAACAGATGTCATTAAGTAGACAAGAGATGTCTTTCAACAAAAGAAACTCAAACTTAGTTAGATGATTGATATAGATTAGCTAGTGAAATTACTGAGTAGAATTGTATAGGCTTGAATATTCTGCAGATGTGGATGAAGTGGAGCCCGTTTTCCTAGATCCCTTTTTTAGTAATCGTATATTGTCAGAAAGAAAAATAAACTAGTGACACAATCCAACACAACAAGCAGATATAAGTACTCAGTATAAATTTCTATTAGTGTATTTAACTAGTAGTAAGAAACACTTGCAGTTTGCTAGGCAAACCTTATGAAGACTCACTAAAATGGATTTTTTAAGTATTCAATGCAGTGCCAATATTGGTTCCAAAAATTCAGAAAAATGCTGGTTTTCTGTTTTGAAAGGTGCCAATCAATCATGTTATTATTCCTGTTGCAGATGAATAGTTGTTCATTGCTTTGTTTTATTTTGTTCTGTTCTGGAAGGTTGCTGTACTTTAATAAAATATTTTCTTTTTAAGATAAAATTAATTCTTTTATACTAGAACCTTAAAGTATGGGCCCACAAGTCATGCTGTGGGCAATGGCCAGTACCAGTATCAAACTTACTGCACATTTATCATGAAGTTTATCTTACTGCATGTGCACTGCATCTTAACTTAGCCCTGATGTTCTCTCTTTCTGAACTAGAAAACATAATTCTGGTTTCCCAAAACAAAACCTGTAATTCTGGAATTTCACACCTAGGCCAGATATGGGTGGGTTCAGAAAAGAAAGCAAATTCTGTACCTGATTTTGATCTGTCCATTTTCTGTGTCTGTTTGTTCTGAATTTAGGCACACACAGGTGCACACTTGCACATGAATAACACAATGGTTGAAAGGGCTAGTGTATGACCGTGTTTGTGCTGACACATCTTATATCATAAATTCAGGTGCGGAAACTTCCTAAGCCTTCCAGAGAGGAGAAGCAGTACAACAGGGATATATCAGCAGCTGAATTTCTCTGTATGTCCAAAAAGCTGAAGAAGCATGGTTTTGGATGGCTATAAGGTTTTTGGCCTGTCCTTGTGCCCACAAACCAGCTCCTGCACTGCTGCAGCTTATAGTGTGGCTTTTTTAAGAAGAACCATCACCGATCACTTTGTTTTAGAAATCTATCCCAAACACTGTGATGATTCATGAGGACCTCAGATTATCTCTGTAGTGGTCGTGAAGTGGACAGCTGTGGCTGATCAGCCATCAGCCATCCTCAGCCATCTGTGCTTGGTAGTCAGAGCTCTGGATCTTCTGTATTAGGACCTCTGGAAAATCATTGTAACCAGTGAACCTGCGCACACAGTTTGCTCATGTCTATTTCAGTCAGCCAATATATGATTTAGGCTGGATGAGACGCATAGCATGATCTTCTCTGTTACTCAGGTACCAGCCCTCACACAATAATTTTCTTCCTCAAGCCTGTAATTCTTATTTGTGCCAACACACGTTTCTGGCTCTTGCTACTACACTATAAACACTCTGTAAAAAAACAAAACAAAACAAAAAAAAGGAACAGCAAACCCCTTTGGATTCAATAGTAGTGCAGGTGACTTAGACGTTTCCTCCTTTTTTCAGTAAGTCTTTTTCCCACAACCTCACATACAGTACTTTTTGTGTCATAATGCTCTCAGATTATTTAAAAATGAGAGCTATCTAAGGATTTAGCTTCTGTCAGGGGTATATTTCCTGGCAGATGTATATTTCAAAGGATGCAATTTATCCAAGATATGAGTTATACGCAGTAGGTTGTCCCAGTGATTAATGACACTTCCTTTAAAATATTTGCAATCTTTTAATATGAATTTATCTAATTTAAACATTCAGTGCTGGGATATTTTAATGCATTTCTCTGCTAACTCGTCCACTCATGTATGAGTGGAACTCTCTTTTTAGGTATCATCACCTGGCTACTCCAACTATAGTTGTAATGATCAGAGATTCAGCTAACTCTTTAAAAAACTGCTTATGAAACTGAATTTTACCCCAAAGCCAAAATCAAGCCCTTTTAAAAATTGATTCTAATCAATTCCATGTAGTTCTGAAAGAACAAAAAATGTTGGTTTATGTTTTGTTGTACTTCATTTAAATAATTAAATTTGGAGCAGAACTGATCTGTTTTACACTATTCAGAAGAAATTATTTTCTCAGATTTCTGAATCCCCTTTAGAACGCTCATTAATAAACCAGTGTGCAAAGGAATAGTCATGGAGTTAGAGTTAGAAAATTAATGAGTGTAGTGTATTTCCAGTATTTATCACATCTCTGACAAGCTTAAGATGTGGAGACTTGACACAAGAAGCTGCGAAGTGTATGCCTTTTGAAAGAACATTACGTTTCTTAATAATTGGAGAGAGTGTAGTGTTCTTGCGGAAACAGGCAATAAAATTGATAGTTCATTATATAAATTAAGGTTTACTGTTACAATCTGACCTCTGGCTACCAGGACTCTGTACAGTGCCATTTTTCTACCTTTGTTTTGATCGTTCATGATGATGAACAGCATCGCAGATTTGCTGAGTTTCAGTTTGACTTTTCAAAGTTTGACTCCATCAAAAAAATCTACAAACTAAGCATGTGTACCTGTCCTGCGTAAGTCAATATTGAATACATTTTGGAAGTGACATTTTGGTTCTAGCTATACTATTATTTGATTAAACAGGGCCAGAAAGGTTTAAACAGGGCCAATTAATATTGGCACATGATTGTCCATATTGTTTAATTGCTAGCATCTTGGCACCTTTTTTGGCTTATTCCAACTAGCATTCTCTGAGACAGTTCCTGAGCACAGATCAGGACATAACATGGACTTTTCCCAATAGGTGACATGTATAAAGTCACACTATATCAAGTGGGATAAGAGTTTATCCACATAGACGTGAGCCATGTTGTGCCGCTGGACCTTAAGGCTAAAAAACCAGGCCCATTTTAGTCAGTGGAATAGATGTCACCTTTTAGTATTTTTATAAAGATAATAGTATCTATCTTTTTAAGATATCGTCTTGTAATATCTTTATAATATTTATATATATATGTATGTAATTAAAAAGGCAATAAATTAGAATTCTATATATTCAGCTGATATGGGCTATTGAACTTGGCACATGTTCCACATGATGTTCCTTGAATGCTACAGTCAATCGATTGATCTAATTTTTTATAGATGCCCTCTATCTCTTTGTAAACATAAAACAGTAACGTTCTGATTGCACAAGGAGCAAGACATGAAAAAAGCATTTGTTGAGAAAGGTTATTTGTTTCAGCATACATATTTTTTATATTTCTAAAACTTTTCAAAAAGCTTTCATATGTAAAAATGGCAATAACAGAAAGTCTTTAAAAGTGTATCATTTGACACTCTGAAAGGAGGTATGGGTGGCCTTCAGACCTTGAAAGTAACGGCCAAAGTCCAGGACTGTGAGCTGGGAACAGCTGCTAGTGGTTAAAGCTTGGTCTGCCTGGCTGTGGAGTTACACCATCTCCTTTATTCCAGGCAAATACTAGAACAATTTATGATCTCATCTGATTTAGGAAGAATGGGAAAGGAAATTCACATTACAAAGATTGGTATTAGAGGCTGGAGCCATTAACCTTCAATGCCATTAACAGATTTTTGTCCCCCACTACAGTCTGGGGATATATGTCCACAGTAGAGGGAGGGGAAATGTTAAACTATGGAAAAGTAGTCACAATTCCCAGTGCTTTCTGAAGGAGAGTACTTCCTGAGCCTATAAAACTAGAAATTAGACATCCATTCACTTTTTCTTCTGTAGGACAGAGAATTGAGTATGGAGTACAAGGCTGCAGTATCAGTTTGTAGTAGTATTCATCAAGATGTTGTCAGAATAGATACAGCTCTTTTAACCTGCTGCAACTGGTTAAAGATGACTGGTTATAGATAGCTGGCCAGCTATTTTCTCTTTCTCCATTTGGACTTTTGTTTCTCAGATTACCAGTAGTCTAATTTGACTAATTTAAAGGGAATCGTCCATACTGGTGGCCAGCTGCAGTGAGAGGGGTTCATTTTCTTCAGTAGAGCAGAACTGGATGGTTCTTGGAATCTCCTATGTAGATAAGTTTAGATAGATAGAGTGAGTGAGTGAGGAATAAACAAACTCATGTGCCTTGCTGACTGGTTTAGGAATAACAGTAATCTCCCTATTTACTGAAGACCTGAATTTAAGGAGATAGAGAGGCAAGTCTACTGAGGAAAAGACCTGATTTAGTTATGTGGAGCTTTAAACTGTGCACTCCTTGGCTGAGCTTCAAATGTCTTGGGTAGTTCAATCTCTGTGTAATTTATTGGAGGCTTCGGGAAAGAATTGACACAATGATTTTTTCTGTTCATTTTAAAAATTTAAGAAAAATTAAATGTTCATGTGGCTGAGGAAACCTTTGAAGGAAGTATGATGAGTCTTATAAACTTAGTGAGCTCTAACTCATTATTTAAAGTGAGGCCAATGTTTACTGCTGCTGTTCCTCTGGTGAAAACCTTCAGAAGTTATAACCCTACAACTTTTCAGTTTAAATACATCTCTAAACCTGACTTAAATGAAGGTGGACTCGTCTTCATCTATGCATTGAACTCAGAACTCATCTCATACAATGCCAATTTTCTTGTAAGTATGCAATTGTTATAACGTCAGTGAGATCCCTACTTACTCTGAGTATTTAGGACCATTTTCTTTGATAGCCACTACCAGAAGGAACTCTGATCCCATTTGAAATTCTTCAGTTTCATAGGAAATTCAGGTTTCTAGGACACATTTGCTGTGGTGGAGATGATGTGTTCTTCCTTTCTCCAGAAGGAATCTTTACAAACTCTAATATGGTGTAAGGGCCGGAACATAAAGGGGGGAGATACGGAAACACATTTTCTGTGTTTTTTCATTCTCTCTTCCATGATAGAAATAGCTTTTGAGTGCAGGACTCTGTTCAGTTTCAAACAACTAGTTTGCATGAGGAAGGGATATGTGCCTTAGACCATCAAAATATCCAGGTTGGTCCTTTCCACATGTTAAAACTGCAGTGCTTAGATCGAAGAAGGCCATGGTTTCTAAAGAACAGCCAGGCTGCTGAAGAGAAGAATAAGCAAACATTTAACTAGGATTCTCAGGCAAAAGGACAGTGTGGCAGACTCTTGTTTCTGATGATCTGAATTTGTATAGGTGAAATTCAGACTTGCACTTTGATGCTGATCTTCAGAGGAAAAGAGTATTTCTGTCTCTGTGCCTATTTGCCTTTCCCTTTTTCTTTTTCTTTTTTTTTAGTTTCCTTTTTATTTTAAGTTTCTTTTTAATGCTTTATTCTTAAGAGCCATGGCTGTTTCCATTCGCAACAGGATAAATTGAATGAAACAACACCACCGAATTGCTGTTGAACTGTTAAATTATAGTGCAGCTTTTATTCCCCCCCCCCCCCCCCCCCCCCAATTACTGAACACCTACCGCTGCATTTTCCTTTTCTGTTCCTTGTTACTTACTCCACTGCTTTGTTCACTCTTTGTGCATGTATGACAGAGACAGAAATGAATCAAGGCTGCTTTTAGATGGAAGTCCAAACTTGCTTTTTGTGGGCTTTTGTTTACCTGTTTCTTGCCAGCATGAAAACTAAGTCATCACAATGGTTTCCATTGTCGTGTGATGTCCATTTTGCCTTTACAGGCCATATTTTCTCCTGTTAAGCTATGCAGAATCTACAGAAACTGATGTGCTTTTTCTTTGTCTTGTAGAGTTCTGCACATCATTCAGTTAATTTCCTAAGCTAATGATAGCAGATGAGAGCTCCTTTATGAAAGGCAATAAGGAATTAATTACAATTAAATATTTTATTTAAAAAAACAGAAAAAAAAGGAAGATACATGATCGGAGTTGTTTTCTCAAGTCTTTGTGAAAACTGCAGTTATAGAAAGGATAAATCATAATTTTAAGCAAAAAGATATTTCCAGTGACTGATGAGATTGTCATTTATTCTGTTTTCAGGGTGGAGCAGAACATAATATTCCAGTGGTCATTTCTAAGATTTCCAAAGAACAAAGAGGTGGGTGTCAGATTTGTAGACTAAATTTCAACATGTTCCTTAAAGCAGTGATGCATTAAGTCTTGAGATTCTTGTAGGTAGCATTAAATATTGGTGTAGCATTTGTGTCTCTATAACATAGTGATCTTTCTCTTCCTAAGAAATATTCTCAGTAAAGTCCAAAAGTTGTGACTGGAATATCTTTTAAGCACTATCCTCAAACATGTTTATTGAAGAAAAAAATCTTGTAAAGCATTATTTTAAGGAAAAAAATAGGAAGATATTTTGAGAATGAAGTTAGTTTACAATTTTATATCATTCAAAAGTTTGTAATGTTGTGAATCTTTTATTTGCAAATGATTGTTGCCAGAAAGCTGTAGCAGATCAAATACTTGGCTGTTAAAGCTTGATAACGCAAGGAGAGAATGCATGCATGTCTTTTTATACTGGTTAGTAGGGTAGTACTCAAACAGGGGTGCGTAATGGCAGAACACTGAAAATATGTTTATGGTATTTCCATGTTAGATGCTGTACTGTGCAAATCCTTGCAATTCATACATAGGAAAATTAGTACTGCGTAAGGACTTGACTGTGCTTGTTTTCTGCTTATCCAGATACTGTTACCCAATTCATTTTTTTTGACTAGCAATGTTTCAATGTTTTGAAGTTGTTGGAACGATATAATATGTACTAGGAAAATGGATGATGCTTAAAAAGCTCATGATGTGCTCACTGACAAATGACAAAGGTTGTAAATCACTAGTTCTAGAGTATATTTAATATCTCCACTATATTTATTTTTATGTATATATGTGTGCATATATAATACTTACTAGCTAAACTTGAAACTTGGAGGTGTTTTTCTCCATCTGTAAGGCAATAACTCTGGAATGCAGCTTCTGAACAATTAAAATTTCCAGTATCAAAAATCTCATATTCATCCACACATAGATGAAGAGAGATACAGGGAAATCTTAGTGTATTGGGAACTGAGTGCTGACCCTGAAATGCAGAAGATGTGTACGTTTTATGTAGGGAAGCTATAG